TGTTGCCTTTATGCCATGCCCCGGGTCATCACAGAAGTACTATAGTAAAAACACAATTACAGCTAGTCCTCAACTTACGACTACAAGTGGGCCCAAAATTTCTGTTACTAAGTGAGACTGTTAAAGTGAATTTTTGCCCCATTTTACAACCTTTCTTGCCACAGTTAAGTGAATCACTTAAGTTGTTAAGTTAGTGACATGGTTGTTAAGTGAATCTGGTTTCCCTATTGACTTCGCTGGTCAGAAGGTTGCAAAAGGGGATCACATGATCCCAGGATACTGCAGCCGTTATAAATATCAGTCAGTTGCCAAGCGACCGAATTTTGATCATTTGACCATGGGGATGCTGCAAGTCATAAGTGTGAAAAATGGTCATAAGTCACTTTTATCAGTGCCGTTATAACCTTGAATGGTCATTAAATAAACTATTGTAAGTCAAGGACTATCTATACAAACAACTGCAGTGAGGAGGAGAAAATTGGAGGACCCCAAAGAAGCCAGTGTAATTACCCCCCAAAGCTTAGTAAAATCTGAAAAAGGTTTTAAAACCTAAAAAAGGGAAAGGAGCCATATTGGAAAAGCAAAGGGAGTTGGTTTATAATGGCAGGAGAATATAGACAGGTAGAGCTGGCTTGTAATAAGAAAGTGAAAGCTGTGAAGTTGATTAGCAAAGGATACCAAGAACAATTGGGCTTCTTTAGAAACAATCAAAATTAACATAATCAGTATATCGGCTGTTCAATGAAGAACAAAAATTACTAAGAACTAAGAAGAAAAGGCTGAATGTTTTAATTCTTATTTTGCTTACTATTTTTCCAAGGGGGGAAATGCATTCCACCAATAAATTATGAAGGGCAGAAAGAAGGATTTAAGTGTGAAACTGAAAAAGAGATTCCTCTATATTTAAAATGTGTTTAAATCTCCGGGAGCAGTTGAATTGCATCTATTCTAGGACAACGACGGAAGAATTGATGCTGGAAGAATTGATGGTTTGACTGAACTGTCTGGAAAATCCTGAAATGCCAGACGATGGGAGGACAGTAAATGTTTTCCCTATCTTCAAAAAATAAATTGTACAGGGGACAGAGCAGTCTTGACATTAAGACCTGGGAAAAGTCTAAGGTAGATATTAAAGATTGCCCAGCCCTATTCTACTAATCTGGGTGAAGTCATTCTGCTCCTTGTTGCATCACTGCCCTGCCTATCTGTAGGACAGCCATGATAAGTCTACAGAATCAGAAGGACATTCAGTCACATCTTATCGGACTAACAAATTAAAAAATACTACTGTACCAGATTCTTCCTGACTTTTGCTCTGTCCATTGTGTTTTTCATTTCCATCCAAACTTTAAGAGTGTCCCTTCTGAACAAAACATTGCCATCTTTGTTGTACACTCAGCTGTCTATTTGCAAACTGTAGGCAACATGCAGCCTCATGTTGTGGTGCAGTGGTTAGAATGCAGTATTGCAGGCCAATAGTGCTGACTGCCAATTGCCAGCAGTTTGGCAGCTCAAATCTCACTGGCTCAAGGTTGATTCAGCCTTCCATCCTTCCGCAGTCAATAAAATGAGGACTCAGATTCTTGGAGGCAATATGCTGAATCTATACACCATTTAGAGATTTTGTGACCATTTTTGTGGCTGTTAAGTGAAACACCATGGTTATTAAGCAAAAGCCGCAGTCGGCAAGCAAAATGTGGCAATGGGTAACATATCCATTGTCCACAATGGGCATTTTTTTTGCCAGAAACAGGAAGCAAATGCCATTTTCCAGGAAAAAATGTTGTAATACGGTAATATAATAATAACAGAGTTGGAAGGGACCTTGGAGGTCTTCTAGTCCAATCCCCTGCTCAGGCAGGAACCCCTATACCATTTCAGACAAATGGTTGTCCCTTCTGTTCTTAAAAACATCCAGTGTTGGAGCATTCACACCTTCTGGAGGCAAGTTGTTCCACTGATAAATTTTTCTAACTGTCAGAAAATTTCTTTTTAGGTCTAGTTCTAAAGAACTGAACTGAAGAAGCTTCTTAGATGACAAGTGAAATGTCTTCTAGGGAAAACAAAGTCCAGTTGCCTTTTGAAAAAGCACCTTTGGGATAATGACCTTCTCTTTCCCCAAAGAGATGGAGTAGAAGATCCACACAGACAATTGTCCCTGACAACATAAAATGTGCAAACAGCTCTAAACGGGCTGGATGCCCAAAATGTGATCATATGGCTGCAAGGGAAAAGAAGGAGGCAGCCATCATAATTTCAAATTGGTTCATAAGTAGCCCAGGGAGGTCCACTGTAACTTTGAACAATGCAACCTGTTGTTACATCAAGGACTATCTGCATTATTTCACTTCAAGCATCTACAAAATTTGAAGTTTTAGACACACAATTTAGACACACATTATTTTTCTAGCAAATGTGCTTTATTGCATATAAACACGATATCTCAGCATTTTCTTGGTTCCTTTCCCAGGGCGAAACACAGAATCAAGCAAATAGATTGTACACTGTGCATTGAAATAATTCATGAGGTCGATATATGAAAAGTATGTTTTTATTCCACACTTGGAAGATGCTCCAAATTTCATGTTCCGTAACACAAAAACAAACCTGATCAGCAAGATGTGAAACTCCCAAGCGCACACATTCAAGTTTCTTCTGAAAAGCTGCAATTCACTGGCTTTATGTATTTTAATGCAAAGTCCTCGTTTGCTGTTCCAGGCTGCCGCTGAAGCATACGTGGCTATTTAAATACAGAAAAACCAAAGGAAGAAATGAGTTTCAATTGTGTTAGCGGCAGTTTTCTGACAGAGTGGTGAGTACAGGCATTACAATTATTCAGGGAATATCCCAAAGGTGCTTTTTCAAGAGGCAATTATTGGACTGTCTTCGTTTTGAAGACGTTTCACTTCTCATCCAAGAAGCTTCTTCAGATCTGACTGAATGGTGGAGAATGGAAGGATTTATATTCCTTGAAGTCATCAGGTCATTAGCACTCTTTTGGAGAGTTGTTCGTTGAGGCCACTTGGAGGTTTATCTGTGCCCTATAAACAATATAAATTCTTCCATTCCATACCACTCGGTCAGAATTGAAGAAGCTTCTTGGATGAGGAGTGAAAGGCTTTTAAGGAAAAACAAAGGAAGTCCACTTGCTTCTTGAAAAAGCACCTTTGGGACAATCATGACCTGGATGACTGAAAATCTCTCAGCTACTTCTAGACCAAGCATTCCCCTCCCTCCCATCAAACACCCTCTGGTTTCTCCCTCCCCCTCAAGGATCCCTTTTGCAGACATTCTAGCACTGGCATTTCACTGGTTGACTCTGGCTTCTTACTTCCCATAATGCCCTGGGGTGCCAATATGATCAAGGCGTTGAAGAAAGTTAAAATGGCAGCTATGAAGCTGCTTTGCATTGAGTGCTAGAAAAAAAATAATACGGCCACAATTGGGACCAGATTTTATATGGCTAAGCAAAGCAGTTGTTAAGTGAATCACTGCAGTTGTTAAGTTACTAACCTGGTTGTTAAGTGAATCTGACTTCCCTATTGACTTTGCTTGTCAGGTCACAGAAAGTGACACTGCGACTGACATAAATACACAACAGTTGCCAAGCGTCTGAATTTTGATCACATGACCCTGGGGTGTGTGTGCTGCAATGGATGCAACTGTGGAAAACAGTCATAAGTCACTTTTTCCAGTGCCATTGTAACTTCGAATGGTCAGTAAACCAATGGTTGTAAGTCGAGCGCCACCTGTACTCGAAATAATCTGCCAATTCAGTACTGTAGTCACAGCAGATGCGAGCAAAGAACTGGCAGATTAATATTCATTCAGCACGTTACACATCTTATCCCCAGAGTTCACCCTGCAGAATGAAATGTCAATCTACTCTGCGCATCTCACTTTCCAAGCAGCTGCAGGCATATAAAGGGTTTTCCATAACCGACAATTAAGAGGAATGATAAATATAACCATCCCATCAAGCGATTGTTCAGACGGCATTTGTCCATCCTAGCCAATAGCGAACATTCTTGACTCAAGAAAGTGTTCGAGTGTCAAGAAAGGATGCGGACCAGGAACACATCCATATTAAAGTGTGAGTCTCCATGTATCTCCCTCAACAATGATTACAACAAAAAAAGCAGTAGTCCTCAACGTACGACCATAACTGAGCCCCAAATTTCTATTGCTAAATGAAACATTTGTGAAGTGAGTTTTGTCCTATTTTACCTTTCTTGCCAGAGTTTTCTTACCGCATTTGTTAAGTGAATCACTGCAATTGTTAAGTTAGTTGTTGTGAAGTGATCACAACATGGTTGTGAAGTGAATCTGGCTTCCCCAGTGACTTTGTCAGAAGGTTAGAAAACATGATGACGTCCCAGGACACTGCAGCCATCATAAATATGAATCAGTTGCCAAGCATCTAAATTTTGATCACGTGACCACAGGGGATGCTACAACAGGTGTAAGTGTGAAAAACGGTCATGAGTCACTTTTTTCAGTGCCGTTGTAACTTCAAATGGTCACTAAATGAACTATTGTAAGTTGAGGACTACCTATACTGTCAGTTTATGGAAGTCATATTTACCTGTGCTAATAATCCCGTTTTGGCCTCCACTCCATAGATTCCAAGCTTCTGTGGAGTCTTTTTGGCACTTTCCTAAATCTCCGCATAGGGAAACATGTCTTACCGAAACATGTCTAACCACAGAACAGGTATGTTCTGTACAGTTATTCAAAGCTGCTTTTCAGGAAAATACTCCTGTACGAATTCATAGGTTGTTGACACCTAGAGATGTCTTCTTCCTTCAATTGTTCGTCTTATTGATCTTGGGAAGTTCCGGATGATCTTAATCTTCTTGACTTTTCTTCAAATTGTCCAACTACCACACACCTCCATATAATGGCACTCTTGAGATACAGAGAAACCCTCAGTTATTCATAAATGAAAGAAAAGAATTAAACTTATTAAAGAAAGAACTTGTTAAGAATTAAACTTATTCAACATCCACAGACGTGATATTGTTAGGGAAGAGAAACCGGATTGTGCACCACCGGCTGCTTCTTGAGAAGATTCCCTACTCAGGACAGCCTTCCATATCACACTCCCCTTCCCAACAGGGTCGGAAGGGGCTGCTGGAAAACAATAAACCAGGAGAGTGTAGGCAGAAACGTTCACCTGTCTGCCATGAATACACAACTTTATTTTGCAAAACAAGCCAGGCAAGAGCATGCACAGGATGGTTCAGAGGACCAGGTGGCTTTCGACGGTCACCTCCAGGGTGTTGGCTGTGGTAGAATCACCGGTGCACAAGCAATCCCAGCAAATGATTCCGGGAAGTGGAGGTCCCTCTCCCATTCATCCGTCTCCGTGTTGTACACCTGCACGATGCTGGTGACATTGTTCAAGTGCCAATTGTATCCGCCCACGACGTAGATCTTCTTCTCTAGCAAACAACAGCCAGCCTCAGATTGTCCTACCCGCATGGGGCTCACCATCGTCCACTGGTTGGCTTCTGGTAGGTAATACTCCACGGCCAAGACATCAAAGCAACGGTCGACATGGTCCATGCGGCCCCCGAGGGCATAAACCTTATTGTTGGCGCTGACCATCGCGTGCAAGACCCGTGGTTCGTTCATGGGAGCTTTGAACTCCCACTGATCCAGTGCAGAGTCATAGCAATGCAAGGCTTTTTTGTCTTCCACGGATATTCCATACCCGCCCGAGATATACAGCTTGCCTCCCACTGTGGCCCCCGCGTGGCCCCACGTCCTGCGTTTGAGGGGGCAAACAAAGCTCCATTCGTTGGTTCTGGGGCAATATTTTTCCACGGATGCCAAGCTGCCGGATCTGTTCCTGCCCCCCGTGGCATAGACCATGCCACACAACACGTTCAGCTGAAACAGGATCCTGCTCTCCTGCATGGCCTGAATACGCAGCCACTGGTTCAGGTGGGGGTCGTAGCGGTAGCAGATGTCAAGGGCTCCCTCGCCGCTGCGGTACTGCAGGTGCTGTCCCCCAACCACGTAAACAAAGTTATCTAGGACAGCCACGCAGGTGTGGCTAGTCCCCACCTCCATCTCGGTCAGCTCCTTGAATTGGCGTGTGCTGCTGTCAGGCAAATAGTAGACTTTGCCACTTACGGTCCTATCGTTATCGGTGTACGGCGTGCCACCAAAAGCTATGAGAGAGAGGACATCGGAGCGGATCGCCGTGCGGGGAGACTGCATCTCATGCTGTCGAAAAGGCAATATTTGATAGTTGAAAGCTTCGAGGAGGTACTGCCGGCATAAGACGTCCTCCACCATGATGTCAAAGGTCTGGACGCTGTCCACCAGCTCCGAGGATTTCATGAGCGGGAAGCGAATGTGGCAGAGAACCTGGCTGGCACTGCTGCAGCGCGTTGGGTCGTACTGCAGCCATCGGATGGCAGCCCGGAAAAGGTCGATCTCACCACAGCTCTTGAGCTTGTTGCTCTGAAGGAAGAAGACGAGTCGTTCCAAAGGAAGGTGGAGGAAGTCTTCCTCCTCGGAAATCTGAAGGAAATGGCGGAAGGTGAAGGCATCGACGGACTCCTTCAAGGAGGCAAGGCTGAAGGTGGTGGCCATTTGCCCGATGTTAAGGCAGGTCTCAACACTCATGGCTGATTTCAGGAACTCCTCGCACAGCTCCACCACAGGTACCATCTGCAGGAAGACAGCCGCTCCCAGCACATCCTGGATGCAGTCCAGATCAAGGGTGACTTCGGCACTGTAGGCAAACTCTATGATGTGCTTCAAGCCCTTGGCAGAGACTCCTTTCAACTCAATCACATCTTGGTTGCTTTCCCTCATCCCACCAGTGAACATGGCCCTGAAAGAATCAAAGAACAGGAGACGACATGGATGAGATTCACCATTCCTGGACTTATATTCAGGGGGAATATAAGGTGCTCAGAGTCGCCTGAACTACATGACAGATGGCAAATAAATTTGATAAAATACAAAGAAACAAATATATTTGATAAATAAATACATTTAATAAGTAAAATTGAGAAAGAAAGAAATTTGACAGATAAATAAATTTTCCACAGGTTGCCAACCAAGAAAAGTGTGCAACAAATAACTTGCCTTTTCATTGATTGATGCATCAAAGTAAATCACATATAGTCCTCCACTTACGATTATTTGTTTAGCAAGCATTCAAACTTACAATGGCGCTGAAAAAAGTAAGCAGGTCCTTGAACTTACCACCATTGCAGTGTCCCCACAGTCCCTTGATCAAAATTTGAGCGCTTAGCATCTGATATATGGTTACGATGGCTGTAGCATCACAAGATCATGTGATTGCTATTTGCAATCTGCTCAGCCTGCTTTTGACAAGCAAAGTCAATGGAAGAAGCCAAATTTGCTTAACAACTGCATGATTCACTTAACAACTACAGTGATTTGCTTAATAACCGTGATGAAAAGGGTCGTAAAATCGGGCAGCAGGACTGACTTAACAATTGCCTTGCTTAGTTAGCAATAGAAATTCTGGTCCCAGTTGTGGTCATAATTCACTTTGAATTATGTGTGAATCCGCTTTGAGGTTGTTTACTCAATGAATAAGTATATTTAAATTATTATAAATGACTAACAAAAATGTAAGTTTCCTTCCTGTGCAAAGGCTAAGTGCTCCTTGTCTCAGAAAATCTGTCTCAACCCTTCCTTGTTTACACCAGCTTGTAAGACCTTCCAGAAGGATCCGACACGTGCAGATGTTGTTTTTCTGGTTCTATGAAACGTTGACGAACCCTTTATATCTTCTCAAATCACTGCCTTTTTAAATGAGCTTTGATGAACTTCGATTTAGTTTTATGTTAAAGACTGTCTCAAATGTCTCTATTAAAATAGAACTGTACGATATGTATTAGCATAGGTGTCAGCTTTGGAAGCCATATTGAGATCTGATGCTCCCACGCTGCCACAATTGAGCCTGAGAAAGTGGAAGTGGGGGGAATTCATTTGAGTATATCTAGTTAGACAAAATAAAATTCTTTTGCTGGTTCAAGGTCACGGAGTATTGCGCATAATGAAATGGGAATCTTACTTTGGGACGGATGGTGATTGGGCTATGTGATGTGATGATGGCTAAGGGAGGATGGATTTTGTAGTTTTTACTTTTGCAAGAAAGCCCCAAACTTTCAGATTCAGGATTCCACAGATGTGCCAGTTACTATCCAAATAAAAGGAACTTTGAGAGATGCCTGTCTCGGAGTTATTGGTTGGAATGGAGGGTTGCTGGAACGCTGACAATAGGAAGCCGTAAAATATATATAGGCATTCATACAGAGTCCTTTTTTGATGTGAGAGAAAAATCTTACAAGAAACTTTACTGATTACAAAAAGAGAATTACAGGTAGTGCTCGATTTACAACAATTTGGATGAGAAATTCCTTTGCTAACCAAGGCAAGGGCAAATAGGTTATGCTCAATTTTGTAATTTTTTTTTGTACCATGGTTGTTAAGCGAACCATTGCAGTTGTTAAGTGAAACATATAGTTATTAAGCAAATCAAGCTCCCCCTCTTGAGTTCGCTGTCAGAGGTTGACGGAGAAGGTTGCAAGTGGTAATCACATGACTTTGGGACACTGCAACCCTTGTAAATACATGCCGGTTGCCAAGCCCCTGAATTCTGATCGTGTGACTGTGCAGTTGCTGTAGTGGTCATAAGTGTGAGGACCAGTTGTAAGTCAGTTTTTTTTCATTAATAACCATTTAATGAGGCCACTATAACCTTAAATGGTTAATAAATGAATAATTGTAAGTTGAGGACTACCAGTAGTTTAGCTGCTTTAATGGACATAAAACAGGAACATAAAAACCACCAAGCTATATCAGTCCATCCAGCCCTCCTTGCTGTATCAAAACAGACGCCTCCGTAAAGAGAGGAGAAGAGAGCCAGAACAGTTCTCTTTCACAGCGGCTCATATACAGCCGATACAGGCAGTCCTTGACTTACAACAGTTCATTTAGTGACCGTTCAGAGTTACAATGGCACTGAAAAAAGTGACTTATGACCATTTTTCACACTTACGACCGTTGCAGCATTCCCCATGGTCACGTGATTCAAATTTTGGATGCTTGGCAACTGTTGTATGATTGTTGTCGTGTCCCGGGGTCATGGGGTTCCTTTTTTGAGACTTTCTGAAGAGCAAAGTTAAGGGGGAATCCAGACTCAATTAACAACCGTGTTACTAACTTAACAAATGCAATGATTCACTTAACAACCGTGGCAAGAAAAGCCGTAAAATTGAGGCAAACTCACTTACCAAAATGTTTCACTTAGTAACATAAACATTGGGCTCAATTGGGGTCGTAACTCCAGGATTTAAGTTGGAGGCAATGAGTCGGAAAATAGTAAACAGCCGTCAAAACTAATAAATCCTGAAAAAAATAAATCATTTAAAGACCTGTCCGAGTTCCAGAGCTTTCTGCACCACTGTACATACCGAGTGAGGGAATCAGAATGAATCGCGACATCAGGTAAGCATGGTGCGATTCCAGAAGTGGACACCATTTTCTGAGTGACCAGAATTCAATGCAGCCACTCAGAAAATGATGGTTGCTTCTAGAATCATATCACACTGTCATCCGGATCTCAAAGCACTGTGGAAAGCTCCAGAGCTCCCGAGATCTTCAAAAGGCAAGCGTGATGGGATGTGGGGAAGAAGCCCAAGCCCTGCAGGGACCCAGTGGGGATGGGTGGGAAAAGTCTGGAGGGTGGGAGAAGCAGACTCAAGGGCTAGGGCATTCATTCTGCTTTTCTAATGCAATCTGCACAGTGTTGCAGAAAACACCCGAGCTCTGCAGATTTTGAAGATCTCCTGAGGTTTCCACAACTGTTCGGTCGGCCACATGGTGAGATTCCAAGAGCGGCTGCCATTTTCTGAGTGCTCCATTGAATTCATACAACAAAGTGCAAAGGACCTATCCAAAGTGTCAACTCTGATGCGGACCTGGCTGAAGCCATCTTTTGCCGCCTCATAGTTGCCATGAATTCTGAGAAGGAGAAGGGAAGGGGAAGTAAGTAGACTGGCTAACAGTCAAAACAAAAAGTTTTCTTGTGGAAACCAAGGTCATCCCAGTAGGTGACAGTTGAAGGAGGAGAGTAGTGACCAAGCAGCCTGCCAGCTACTTTCATTGGACAATGTGACCGGTGACATCTGGGGAGGGAAATATTTGCTCTTTTAATTAGGGAAAAACCGTGGGAACTTTTAGAGTTGGTTTTCACTAGCTGTGCCAATCTGATGCATCCAATAAACATGTTCTTTGAGGAATCTACCTGCCTCAGAGTTCTGCTTTTGGAAGATGCATTACTCGGAATGCTGAAACAAAGATTGCAAAGGTTCATTTAACAACCATGGAAAAAGTTGTAAAATGGGGCCTGACTCACTTAGCACCCACCTTGCTGGGCAATGTTATTTAACTCATCATTGCTTAGCGATGGAAATTCTGGTCCCAATTGTGATAATAAGTCAAGGATTAATTGTAAGATACAGAATAACAAGAATTGGAAGGGACCTTGGAGGTTTTCTAGTCCAACCCCCTTATACATGCAGAAGATCCTATATCATTCTGGACAATCTCTTCTTAAAAACCTCCAGTGATGGAGCACCCACAACTTCTGAAGTGCAAGCCTTTCCACTGGTTAATTGTTCTCACTGTCAGGAAATTAATCCTTAATTCTAGGTTGGTTTTCTTCTTGATAAGTTTCCATCCATTACTTCTTGTCTTGCCCTCAGGTGCTTTATAGAATAGGTCAACCACCACTTTTTTGTGACAGCCTCTCAAATATTGGAAGACTACTATCATGTCACCCTCAGTCCTTCTCTTCATTAGACTAGAACAGTGGTCGCCAACCAGTGGGCCGGAGACCACGGGTGGTTTGCAACAAAATTTTGGTGGTCTGCAGAGAAATGTCACCCCCAAAGCATCCCTCAAAGCAAATAATCCAAGCTGCGTGGGAATACAAGGCTGCGCTGCCCACATGGCCCACGGGAACACAAGGCTTGCGTCGTTTGCATTACGAACAAGACGAGGTAGCGAGGGGAGGGCGGGAAGGGCCCCACGCGCCTTGCCTGGCTACCAGGCTGCTTCTTTCCACTTCTTTCTTCTTTTGCTTTTGACTGCATGCAAGGAAAGCAGCAAAAGTCTTTCTTTCTCTCCCACAAACTCTGCCAGAAATGAGTCTTTGGGACCCTGCAAGGCTTCCTGCTCCAAGAGGCTGTGCCGGCGCAACAAGTCTCACAAAGACTCATTTCTGGCAGAATTTGGGAGGAAAGAAAGAAAGACTTCTGCTGCTTCTCCTGCTTTCCTTGCATGAAGCCAAAAGTCTCTCTCCCCCTGAGAACGGAGCTGGAGACGGTATCCTGCAATCCCAAATAAAGAATGATTGATCAGTAGGAAAATGGGGTAAGGAATTTTCCTGCTGACTTTTTTTTGGATTTTCCCATGGTCTCTGGTCTGCGGGATTTAAAATTATGAGTTTGGTGGTCCCTGGGGTCCAAAAGGTTGGGAACATACCCAGTTTCTGCAACCGTTCTTTGTATGTTTTAGCCTCCCGCCCCCTAAAGAAAATTATGAGCTGCTGTTTCCCTCCTCTTATAGGGAAGGACTGAAAATGCTTTGTTGCTACAAAAAAAGAGCTGAATATCAAGAAAAGCACAGTCAACTTATAATTATCCTGATTTCTGAAGAAAAACTGTCTTGTAATCTTGAAATCCAGAGTAGAGCAACAGCTGCCAAATCATCTTTAATGCTGCCTCTTTTCTTTTACCCTTCATTTGTATCAAAATCAGAGCTACAAACCAAAGGGAAGATTATGTTGTTCATTGTTCCTCCACGACAACCCTACCAAACACCCAAGTTACAAGAGAAACCCTTGAAGCAATTATAGCTCAGCAGCAAGGCCACACCGGTGCCAACCTGTGGTGCACAGAATCCGACAGAGCCATTAGTGTCTGGTGGGAGATTTTCTGCCCCCCCACCCTTAATTGCGCCTTATTATAAAGAGCAATAAACCTCTGGGGTTGATGTTACTAGGGAAACAAACACCAATCAAAAAACAAGGACCAAGGTGTATGCAGATGTTCACAGATACATACACAGCAGGCACAAATTAGGCAAGCGTAATCACAAACAGACAAGATGGGAAGCACAAAGGTAGAAACGTAAGAGATGGTCAACATCCGGAGGTCACTTTGGACAGGTGTGAATCCAACTGCATTTGAGTAATGATTCAGAGCCTTGATCATCTCCAATGCAGGAGTGGGATGCTACTGCTTCAGCCCGGTTCTATAGAACCGGTAGCTCTGAAGAGCAGCTGACACCGAATCGGTTCGGTGCAATGACTTTCTGGTCGTCTGTTTGGCCCACCCGCCCGCCCGGGCTCTTGGCTGTCCTTTATTTCCTGCTTTTTCAACCTCAACTGCTTTGCGCAGCACAGCTGAGGTTGAAAAAGCAGGAAAGAAGAGGATTTTCAAATGCTGCGCACCCACGCGCAGCGCTTGTCAGCTGTCCGGGCAAGGCAGTTGTTAAGTGAGTCACGGCAAACTACACCTTTTTTGACACCATGGTTAAGAAAATCACTGCATTCGTTAAATGAATCTTGTGGTTATTACATGAATTCGGTTTCCCACATTGACTTTGCTTATCGGAAGCCATCTGGGAAAGTCAGAAATGGCAATCATGATTCTGGGATGCTGCAACTGCAGTAAAGACATGCTAGTTTTGACTTTTGATCATGTGTTCTTGGGGGATGCTACGAGAGCCATAAATGCAAAGACTGGTCGTAACCAAGGATGGGATTCAAAAATCCAAGTAACCGGTTCACTGCCCAGTTGCTGGGCAACTGGGCCGTGGCCATGGTAGCCGTGGCCTACAGGAATTTCCGGTAGGGCCATTTTTTTGCCTTCCCAACAGTCCGGAGGCTTCCCTCAGGCCTCCCCCGGACTCTGGAGACCCTCCGGAAGCCAGAAACAGGACTTCCGGAACAGACTTCCAGACGGCCCGATTTTCTCCCTCCCAGAGCCTACACTGCGCTTACCTGCATCGAAAATGGGCTGCGTGGAGACTCCTGGGAGGGGAGTGGCAGGGTGGGCGGAGCCAGCCAGTTGGTTCAAATCCTGGTTCAGCGAACCAGATGCAAATTTAACATCCAGTTCGCCCGAACCGGTCCGAACCAGTAGAATCCCACTCCTGGTCGTAACACTGCTGTTAACAATCGCTAAAATAATGATTGTGAGTCAAGGACTAATAATAGCCCTCGCTTGCAAACTGTTTGGATATATAAATTTAGTAACTGGACCAGGTTGGTCGGAGAGAGTTGGCTCCTGCATGAGGCAATCTATTTATAATCTAATTATGATTGCTCTGCTGTGGGTGTAAAGGGGGAGTTCCCATTTTTCCCGCCTTTTTTTCTTCTGTGTGTTCTGTATGCTATTCTGTGATTTACCTGACAATTTACCTCATGATCTCATGATGTGCCTGAGTATCTTGTCGGTTGGATATAGAGATGAAATATATTTATTTTTTATAAAATGTATATAAAACCAAAAGTTCAGAATCTCTGACTCCATTTGGCGTGAGTGAGATACTAACACCACTCTATAAAGCCTTGGTAAGGCCACACCTAGAGTACTGCATCCAGTTTTGGTCACCACATTATAAAAAGATGTTGAGACTCTAGAAAAACTGCAGAGAAGAGCAACCAGGATGATGAGGGGACTGGAGACCAAAACATATGAAGAACAGTTACAGGAACTGGGCTTGGCTAGTCTAGTGAAGAGAAGGACCAGGGGAGACATGATAGCAGTCTTCCAATATTTGAGGGGCTGCCACAGAGAGGAAGAGATCAAGCTATTTTCTAAAGCATCCGAAGGCCAGAAAAGGAATAATGGATGGAAACTGAACAAGGAGAGATTCAACCTGGAAATAAGGAGAAACTTTCTGACAGTGAGAACAATCAACCCATGGAACAGAAGTTGCCCTCGGAAGTTGTGAGAGCTTCATCACTGGAGGCTTTCAAGAAGAGATTGGACTGCCATTTGACAGAAATGGTGTAGGGTCTCCTGCTTGGGTGGGGGGTTAGACTAGATTACCTATAAGGTCCCTTCCAACTCTGAATATCTGTAATTTATATCTATAATTGGCCATCGGCTGCCCAATTCCCTGACACAAACCCACCATTTTGTCCACGACCAACTCCGTCAATGTGGTTTGAAGGAGCAGAAAACAGCTTCCCTACGGACATTTGAGCCTCTCACCTGAAGTAGTCACTGCAGGCTGCCAAAACAACTTTGTGCACTTGAAAGACCTCATTGTTGATGGTGAGGATGACATCCAGCAACTGGGCCTGAGCCCGCAGAGAAGCCAAGCCGTGCAGAAGGGTAACACTATGGCCCGGAGCAGAGAAAGTGCATTTCAATGTGCTGTTCTTGTCCGCCATGCTAGGAAGGGGGAAAGAGAGGGATAAATTACAAGGTGCTTTTTTCTTTCTTTCTTCAATTGGTCATACAGGTAGCTCCAGGCCTTTGAGTTTTTTTTATTACCCTTTCCTACAGTTTTTCCAGCTGTACCATACAAGCAGTCCTCAACCGATCACCCAGAATTACATCTATGCAGGAGATTCTCAATCATCCAGGTCACAAAGGTGCTTTTTCAAAAGGCAACTGAACTTTCTTGATTTTTACTTTCCTTGAAAACATTTTGCTTCTCATTCAAGAAGCAGAACTGAAGAAGCTTCTTGGATGAGAAGCGAAATGTTTTCAAGAAGGAAAAAAAACAACCAAAGAAATGCCAGTTGCCTTTTGAAAAAAGCACCTTTGGGATGCCCAGAATTACAGTTGTTAAGTTGTGCCAGGCATTAAGTGGGTCACCATGTATCTGAACCTGATTTTACTACCTTTTTTGCACCAATCGTTGAACTAATCCTAAAGTCATTAAATGAGTGCCATGGTCATTAAGCAGATCCATTGTCTGCAATGGACGTTTTTAGGTTTCCAGCCAAAAAAACATCACAAATTATGGTAATGTGACTGAAGGACGCTACAAGCAGCCATAAATGAGGGCTGACTGCCAAGTGCCCCAAATGCAATCACATGACCAGGGCAGCTGTCAGCACTTCAAATCCCGATTGTAAGTACCCCAGAGAGGTCCGTTATAATTTTGAATTATTGCTAAATGACCGGTCATAAATCAAGGACTACTGTAGAGAAGGGAACAGATTTATACACACTTTAGGGACAATATATACTATTCAAAACTACCAGACCACCAAGGAAGGAAGTGTTAGTACTACTTGCTCTGTAATGGTCTCTCAAATTGGAGAAACCTTTTACTCAGTGGTTTGCAACCTTTATGGCCATGCATCATGGCCACGGACCCCCAAGACTTAACTCAAGATTTAAATCATAGTAATTTTTAAGCCTTCATGGAACCCCCTGTGACATCAAGCTCCCGCCAGGGGTCCGCAGACCACAGGTTAAGAACCACTGTTTTACCCCTTTTTGTACAGGAATGAAGGGAACAAGGCCCCATATTCTTACAAAAATATAAGCGTTCTTCAAGGTCATAATTCAAGAAACAGCTTCAAACTCCACTAAGATTACCAATGGACCCTAACCATACACACGCACACATTACACTTCTTTAATAAAAATGAAGACAGGAAAAGTAATCTTGGAATATATGAAACTGAGCGTGATATATGGGGTCCTTGAGCTTGGTGGTTTTCTTGCAGACATTTCATTACCTAACTAGGAAACATCATCAGTGCCAGGAGGGAGTTGGGTTTGCTCTCATTTTATATACTCATGGCTTGCCCTCTCGGAGTTGGTCAGAAGGGTCTTGGTGGTTCCTCGATTGGGCTGTTGTTTACTGTTAGCATGTTTGGCAGTTCCTTGATTGGGGTATTGTTTGCTTTTTTATTGTTAATCTAATGTTAATTTTGGTGCTAATCTCTGCTCATCTGGGTGTTGATTGCTGAAGAGAGGATGTATTCGTCTTTTGTTTCCTTTTTAGCTTTTTGATTGTCTCTTTTGAATGGTATGTAAATGTTGTTTATGTCCATGTGCCTGTGGACGGCTGATTGTTTGAGTGCCAGGCTTCCAGGAATTCTCTAGCATTTTTGGACTTGGCTTGGTCTAGGATACTCACAGTTTCCAAGCTGAAACTATGGTTTCAACCGGTAGCATGATATAATTTGACCTTTTCATTGAAAAGACTTTAGAATGAGGAATGGGGGCCCTGGGAGAGAGAGAGAGAGAGAGAGAGAGAAGTCACACTGCAGAATGTGAAATAATGGCATTAAAAAAAAAACACTTTTACGCCTTGTGGCCTTGCAGTCCCATTGTTTGTGTTACTATAGTTTTGGGGGAAAAAATACAGAACAGCATCTGTTCCTTGGCAGAGGTTCCAGGAAAGGCACAAAAGAAAACCTTGAGTGATTCTTTGCCAAAGCCCACACGCCATGATTATGGTGATTGGTTGGTGATGTTTGCATTTAGCTGCATACATACAGTACTGTTTCAACCAATTTAGAACTTACTTTGGGATCCTGGAAGAAACTGGAACTTAGTTTTTAGTTAAAAAGAGTTTATTCTTTTAAGAAAGCTTAGCTTTTTTTTTTTCTGGAAAGGCTCTAATACTGGGAAATGTAGAAGACGACGACCACCAGCAGCAACATGAAGGAACAAATACTAGATTCTCCTGGATAAGATCTAGTATATATGTCAGTGTTTCTCAACACTGATAGCTTGAAGATGGGTAGACTTCAACTCCCAGAATTCCCAACCTATTCTAGCTGGGGAATTCTGGGAGTTGAAGTCCACCCATCTGCAAGGCTGCCAGGGTTGAGAAACACTGATCACTAGGAGTCAAAAACAACTTGATGGTACATAATGAATCATAATCCACCACTTTTCAAACAACTGCTAAAGACTCCTTTACTCCTTCCCTACTAAAAGGACAGGCCTTCAAGTAGTTGGCAGTGTACAAAACTGTTCAGTTTTTCCTGTTCTCTTAAAAATCAAATCCTCTCCCTCAAGGGATGGATTGATTGATTGATCAAATTTATATAGTCGTCCACCTCACTGGAAGTGACTCTGGGCAATATAGAACAATCCGATAAAGCCACAAAAAACAATCATTATAAAACACTCATTATAAATATATACATATACATATACATATACATATACATATACAAGACCAACCTGAGCACAACCAAGCCCCCACCTGAACAGAACACACCTCCAGCCAATCAGAACATGGCCAACCCTCCAACCAATCAGAACACAGCCAAACACCCAACCAATGAGAACACACCCCCACCCAATCAGAACACAGCCAAGCCCCCACCCAATCAAGTCACACCCCCACTAGCAGTTAAAAGGAAGAAGCAGCTGCAAGCTCACATCACTCTGAGAAGCACAGAGCTGAAGACAGAAGCCTGAAGATGATGAATGAGACTTCATCGAAACGTTGCCTAGATACTTCCAATCTTACGCGGGAGAAAACCCGAATAACCAAAGATCCACATACATATACATATATATATATATATATAAACCCTTATTTAAAAATTTAAAAGCAATTTAAAAAATAAAATATACAAACCATACAGAAATATCACTCATAATAGAGAAGCCATCTTAAAATGTTCCTTGGGACACTACAAGCCTGATGACACAACCAAGTCTTGCAAATAGGTTTTGAATACAGGTAGTCCTTAACTTATAATAATCATTCGTTTAGTGACTGTTCAGAGTTACAACACCACTGAAGAAAGTGACTGACCATTTTTCAGTGATGACCGTTGCTGCATCGCATGGTCATGTGATCAAAATCTGGACCATTGGCATCCCAGGGGTCATGCGATCACCTTCTGACAAGCAAAGTCAATGGGGAAGCCAGATTCACTTTACAACCATGTTACTAACAATTGCAGAGATTCACTTAACAACACGGGCAAGAAAGGTCATAAAATGGGGGGAAACTCACTTAACAACTATCTTACTTAGCAACAGAAATGTTGAGCTCAGTTGTGCTCGTAAGCAGAAGACTACCTGTAGTAACAGGGATAGGGCTAACTTAGCCTCCGGGGTGGGGTAGGTGGGTAGAGACTGTTCCCTAAGGCCGGCATCAGTGATTAATGGAAGGGGAGGTCTTATTAGAAACCCACCTGGGGTTCAGCAGCTACAGCCAGAGGCACTGAAGTTTTGCTGATAGGGTATTGGGAATGAGAACCCACCACCAATGCCTCCATTGGCTCCCACCCAAAAAGAGGAATTAGGCATTCACAGTAGCAACTCAACAATAGAACCCAGGTCTTCCTTCTTCGTTCCTTAGTTTTCCTTCCGTCCTTCGTTCCTTCCTTCCTCCCTCCCTCCCTCCCTTTTTATTTCTTCTTCCTCCCTCCCTCCTTCCTTCTTTCTTCCCTCCCTCTTTTCCTTTTTTCTTTCCTCTTTTTTTCCTTCCTTCCTTCCATCCACAGGGTGTGCTTCAACTCGCCACCCAACTGTCTCCCCACATCTTATAAGATATATAAAACATGATAACAGCGTTCCAATATTTGAGGGGCTCCTACAAAGATGAAGGGGTCCAAAGCACCAAAAGGCAAGAGAGAAATAATGGATGGAAACTAACCAAGGGAGAGAAGCAATCTAGAACTAAGGAGAAATTTCCTAATGGTGAGAGGAATCAACCAGTGGCATAGCTTGCCTTCAGAAGTTATGGGTGTTCCATCACTGGGATCTTTCCAAAAAGAGACTGGACAGCCGTTTGTTTGAAATGGTTTACGGTCTCCTGCTTGAACAGGGCTTTGGACTAGAACAGGGGTCCCCAACCACTGGTCCCCGGACCGGTATCGGTCCGTGGATCATTTTTTACTGGGCCGCAAAGCTTGGGCGCCGCCATCTTGTTTCGACGGCGCTTCCGGGTTTTCGGTTGCTTCTGGGTTTTCAGTTGGAAAGTGGCATTTGGGTGCTCGCGCCTTAGTTTCGTCGAAGGTGGGGGGCGGCTTCGAACGAAGAGCCGTCCCGATGGCGGTGGAGTCTCGCATTACTCAGGTATCGGTCCGTGGAAGAATAAATAATCGTGAAACCGGTCCCTAGTTCAAAAAAGGTTGGGGGCCACTGGACTAGAAGACCTCCAAGGTCCCTTCCAACTCTATTATTCTTATGTTCTATGTTCTATCTTAGCCCTTTCGGCCACCCTGAACTCCACTGAGCCTTGAGAAGCCCTTGCAAGATCTTGGGAAAACTTTGCAAAGCCAGGCTGGGCATGCCTTATCAGCAACAGAAGATAAAGGTCAACTGGGGGCAGCAAGGGTGGAGGAGTGCAGAGTGGCCAAAAAAGCAGAGGTGGTGGTGGTGGAGGGGGAATAGGCAATTGGGGAGAGTTGAAGGATAGATGAGCATGGCAGGGTAAGAAAAGCATGAGATCCTTG